TTCAGATTTGAATAATATACAGTAAGAGGGTGAAGATGGGACAGCAGGAGAGTGTCTAGGCCAGGGGAAGAGCATATATAAAGATCCATTCAGAGGTGAGCAATAATTTAACATGAATCTCCTCTGAGTCAGTCTGAAGAGAGCAAAAGGAACAATGGCTAGAGAAGACGGTGGAGTGGTGGGTAGAGTAGTTCTATTCTGCCCCATAGTGATCCTCAATGAAACAAAGCATTAAGAAGACCTAAGAACATGGTCTTGGCTCTGAGATGCAGGGGTTATGACATGTTCTGGCAGGTTTCCTGGGTTAGGAAGAAGAGGACATGGAGCTAGGGAGAAATTTGTCCTACCTAAGAAGAAGAAAGTTTCTTGCAAGATCTTAGGTGGTCGAGAAGGCAGGTTGCTGAGCAGGACCTTCAGTTCTGAAGGAGGGAATATTAAAAGGAGGGCTTTAGTTAATTCCTGAACTAAAGGAGGCTCACCTGACAGGAGGTAAGTAGTGAGGAAAGCCTGCTGATTGAAGAGCTGCAGAGACACTCACCAAGCAGAGATGATGGAGACTCTGCTGACTCAGGAGGCACAGGACACGTTCAGGATGATGAGATTCTAGAGGAGCCTTGTAAGTCATTTCCCTCCCTATGCCACAGTGGCTGGGAAATGACAGGGTTGGAAAAGACTGATTACTAACCTACTGCACCTATTGCATAATTGCCATGGCTCAACCTCTGCATTCAGGATCTGTTTCCAGGATCTGACCACAGGTGACATGCTTGAAGGGGGGCAGTATATATGGAAGCAACAAATAAGCCCCTTGATAGGGAGCTCTGTGGGTACCCTCTCATGCATCCACACTCTCTAGTCTCTAGGATGAGAATTACCTCTGTAAAGATAGCCTAACCTGGACTTATAAGAATAGATCCTAACAAGCTGGACTCCAAGTGGTGAGGAGGTTCTGAATTGTCAATTCAGGGACACCAACTTTTAGGGTGAAGAAAGGTAAATGACAGAAGTGGTGAGAAAGGGTGAGATAGAATGAAATACAGAGAGTGATCTAGAGAGGCTGAGAGGCAGAGAGGAGACATAGTAAAGCAGGCAAAAGCAGACAGAGACAATCAACAGAAAATATAAGAGGAATATTAGTATTAGTATTAATATTAGTATTGTAGAACTAATTTCCCTCTAATTTGGTCTCTGGTCCAGTCTCCAAAGGAATGGATTCAGACAGTAAGGAGACATGCACAGATACCTGGCTCCCTGCAAATGCCAACATACCCAATCTCACCTGCCCACTACTGCAAGGGAGCCCCAGTACACATATATATGTCCTGTCCAACAACTTTGAACACCACAAAGGAGACTGAGAGCAAAGCATGCATGATCCCATATTCTCTCTTCTTGTCCTGATTTTTGTGCTGTATGTCTATCTTATTTCTGTTTTCTATGTATCTCTCTGCCTCTCCCTATCATTCTTCTTTTCTCCTTTCCTTCCTTCCTTAGTAAGTCAGAGCATTCACAGCTCAGATGACCATCAGTTCAGCAGTGTCTATTCATCTGGAGGGAGAGACTGTGGAACTTGCCCCGGACTCCCACCCACTAATTGTCTGGGACTAGTGTTTTCCTATTAAAACAGAAGCAGAAGCCTCTTCTTGATGACAGCACAATCCTTGAGTAACTGGTAGACATATGGTTACAAATGAATGAAAGCCAACACCCTACCTCAAGAAGTCACCTAACCTCGTGGATGAGAACTTGCTTTGACTCAGTTCAGGCCTGGAGCCATGCAGCCAGGGGCTTGGGAGTGTAAAGAAGTTAGATCAGTGGCAGGGGCCTTGAAAGATGTCCTTTTCTCCCTAAATGTCTTTCTTATCTGGTGTTCTAGTTCAGAAGACTCAAACCATGCTGAAACCCTAAGAGGGGAGTTGCCATCACCTGACCCTCAGATAGCACCAAAGAACACAGCAGAAGGCTTCTTCCTGGCAAGCCAAGAGATTACTTCCTACAGGGAAACCCTGAGATGTGCTGATTGTTTAGAAAGTTGAGGTGGAGGGAGGCTGGGCTTGGGCTAAGCCAACTTTTGTCAGTTTGAAAGTTACACTTTTCAATGGGTGGAGTTCTCAGCCACACCTAGCTCAATGGGACCCAGTTTGTAAAACTTGAGCTGGATCTAGGTGAATCCTCAGATGACAAAGGATTGAGACTGTAAATCCTGACACCCATCATGCAAGGTAGCCAAAGCCCTGGATCAACCTTCAACTCACAGGGGTGGTTCAGACATCAAAGTAGGTCAGTTGACAGGTGTCCTTTGGTAGACATCCAATTTCAGAATCCTTCACCTTCTGTGAACAAGAGCTACCTACAGCAACAAGTATAGGACAGCCTTCTTCTCCATTCAGGGGACCCTCAGAAGTCTTTGATGTGAGAAGGGATTTGTAGTTCCTGTCCCCTCAAATCCTCCTTATCTTCAGGATGCAGAAATGAGCAGAATGAAAAGATAATGGATATGTTTTTCTCAGTATCAGATCATAGAGCATTTGAAGCAGGGCTGTGAGAGAGTGGTATGAGGGAGGGTAGGGATGTAATGAGGAACTTGGAAGAATTCACTGGTAGAAGAAAATGAAGCTAGAGCAGAAACGAGCAGTGTATGAGCTATTCACACAGGCTCCTATTGTAAAACTTAATGACGAAACACAAAGAACAATCTTAATTTGGTCCAGCTAAACAGCCATTGTCACAAACCTCAAGTTCTCCCTTATCCATGGACACACACACACATGTACATGTGCATGTATGTGGTTAGTGGAAAGCCCACAGGAGTAACTGGTTCAGTTTATATAACCAGTTTGGGCCAGAGGATTTCCTCAGAAGTCCTGTTGAAGGGGTGGTGGCAACTTTACCTCAGCAACTGTTACCCCAACTTCCACACCCATCCTCCTCCACCCAGGTGACAGGGCTCTGACAGACCTGGCTAGGAGCACATGCTAATTTCCCCTCTTCCCACACCTCCCTCAAGGTTAGATGACTCTGTTCCTTTCTGCCTGCTGACTAATGGCCTTTCTGGACCCTCTGTCTGACTCTGGGGCCATTACAATGTCTTTTGTCCATCTTCCACAGAAGGAATAAGGAAGAACAGTGTAGGGACTATTTCAGGGGCCAGATATTGGGGTTTAGGCCTGAGAACCTTCCAGGGAGAATATGAATTTCCTGGATGGGAAGAAGGGGGTTAAGAGAAGCAAAAAGAGAATTGCTTTTGCTTTTCCTATCCCCAGAAGAAGCATGAGGACAACTAAGGGTGCAATTTACCCTCCTTACTTCCTCCACTGTCCCTTTATAAAGGAAGAAATAAAGACCCAGAGAAGTGAGAAGAGCTGCCTAAGTCTGGTGGCTCAGGAGTTGTAGAACAAGGCCTGGAACTTTGGTCCTATGATGTCAAGAGAAATGTCTTTCCATCTCACCTTGCTTTAACCACTCCTGTGACAGTTGACTTACCATGTGCTGAGGAGCATGGGGTGAGGAGATGTCTTCTTAAAAAGTGTGTGAGTGTCAAAAAGCACATAGCCTGGGGTGGAATGGGCTTGATCCCACTTACTAGCAACTGAGGTAGACCTCTAAACTTGTTTTCCTCATATGGAACATTGGGCAAATATCCCTACCTCTCAGTCTTGTTTTTGTTAGCTGCCATTGAATCAGCCTCCAACTTGTGGAGATCCCCATGCATAACAAAATGAAATGCTGCCCAGTCCTGAGCCATCTTCATGATTGGTTGTGGATCAGACTGTTGTGATTCCTAGAGTTTTCATTGGCTGTTTTTTGGAACCATATCACCAGGCCTTTCTTCTAAGTCTGTTTTAGTCTGCAGGCTCCACTGAAACTTGTTCTACATCATAGCAACAAGGAAACTACCAATGAAAGACTGGTGGTAGTTGTGCTTGAGGTACATTGGCTGAGACTAGAACCCTAGTCTCTCATACAAAAAGCAAGAATTCTACCACTGAACCATCATTGCCTTCCTCAGTTTCCTGTTGTTGTTATGTGCTGTCAAGTCAACTCCAACTCATAGAGATCCTATGTAGAAGAGAACAAAACACTGCCTAGTTGTGAACCATCCTCACAATCCTTGCTATACCTGAGCCCATCGTTGCAGCTACTGTGTCAATCCATCTCATTGAGGGCCTTCCCCTTTTCCACTTACCCATGGTATCCTTTTCCGGGGAATGGTCCCTTCTGACCACATGACAAAAATAGGTGAGACAAAGTCTGTCCATTCTCACTTCTAAGGAGCATTCTGGCTGCACTTCTCCCAGGACAGATTTGTTTGTTCTTCTGGCAGTCCATGGTATTTTCAGTATTCTTTGCTAACACCATAATTTAAAGGCATCAACTCTTCTTTGGTCTTCTTTATTCATTGTCCAGCTTTCACATGCATATGAGGTGATTGAAAATACCATAGCTTGGGTAGGCACACCTTAATCTTCAAAGTGATGTCTTTGCTTCTTAACACTTTAAAGAGGTCTTTTGCAACAGATGTGCCCAGTGTAATACAACATCTGATTCCTTGACTGCTGTTTTCTTGGGTATTGATTATAGATTCAAGCAAAATGAAATCCCTGACAACTTCAATCTTCATCTGGTAGTGATCACTATATATAGGAATATTTGTGAAGTGCCTGACGCCAGGCTCAGAATCACGCTATTAAGAGTCACACTGTTTCATATTAGCTAAGAAACTTTAGCCAAATTTCTTTCATGTTCTGGTATTTCAATTGCATATCAGGAAAATGGTACGTAGTAAGTAACAAATGAACAGACATGTGAAGGTACGGAAGAATTATGGGACTGGTTGTGCCTCCAAGGAGTCCATCCCTGCTTTCCCAAACCTGGCCTGAGTCATCACCAAAGATGGAATATATCTAAGGATCAATGAAGGGGAAATGAAAGAGGCAGTCAACTTTCCTTCTGATAAGAATGTTCTTCTCTTTTATCCAGGACCTCCAAATCTTGGGAAGATGTCTGATCAACAAAAATGCAGCCCATGCTCCCAGCCACCACGTCAATGTTGCCCACCACCACACCAATGTTGCCCACCACCACACCAATGCTGCTCACCATCCCGCCAGTGCTGCCCACAGCCTCGCCAGTGCTGCCCACAGCCTTGCCAGTGCTGCCCGCAGCCTCGCCAGTGCTGCCCGCAGCCTCGCCAGTGCTGCCCGCAGCCTCGCCAATGTTACCCACTGCCACCCCCATGCTGTATTCAGCAACAATGTTTGGAGACCAAGCCTGAGTGCACTTCCCTGAATAAGGAGTCTGAACTCAAGCAACCCCAATCTCAGGAGAGCAACTCTTCTAACAGTCCACAGAACTCACCCAAGCCAGGTACACCTGAGCAGCAGAAGAAGCCAAGCAAATAGGTTGCTTTGGGACCATGCCCATCAGTTTGTGGAGTAGGGATAACTAAGGGTCAGGTTAGACCTACATTTAGATAAGACCAATGTTGTCTTATTGACACTCCCTCACCCCAGCCACAGGCTCCTATTTCCCCTCATAGTCCCTTACTCTAGGAAGGCCCTCAACGGGAAATGGAAGGTTGAAAAGGCCAGAATCATTTCTCCTAGTGACCTTGACATTTAGACAGCACAGAAATAAATGAGCAATAAAAAGGAGTTGTCTGCCTTTGCTCCTTAACCTACCTGTCGAGTCATCTCAACTGTCAAGCTCAAAGCCCAAGGAAAATGTCTGGGCATGAACCAGAGCCCAGAAGCACAAGGTATCTGCTGAGCTAGGGTAAGGTGATCAATTCTTCCCACTTTTAAAAGGGCAAATCCTGCATCCTAGAAACCCCTCAGTTCCAGGCATATGTGGATGGTTGGTTATACTAAGTACCAAATCCTCAATGTCCTCGAGTTCCTGACTGCTGCATGTGCATCCAATCCAAGCAGGAACAGGCTCCTGAGGGTTATTAAACCACCCCCTTACATAGATTTTAGGCAGGAGGCAGAGTTCCCAGGACTTAGCCAAAACTTCATGGCTGACAGATGAAGGCTAATAGCATCAAGACTGGCTCTATTTTCAGAGAGTAGCTATCCTAGAGCAAGTTGTTGAGCCTCTCAGAGGCTCTACACCCTTATCTGTAATATGAGTATGATGCTCTTTATCTCAAAGACTTTTTGTGAGAATTAAATAGGATAATGCAATTAAAGTGCTTAGCATAGAATCTGACACAGTGTGAGGATTCAGTGCATGGCTTTCCTCAAACTTCCTTCTCTGCCTTCAGATCCCTATTTCCCTCTGAAGATACCACCATGCTCCAATGGTTGTTTCCAAATATACCCACATTAGCCTAGTGGACAGGTAGAGATAGAGAGATGTCTCACTCACCATACTTGTCCACTTCAATTTGTACTCCTTTCTTGGTGTATGCCCTACCTGTTACCTCTAATATATTCCTATGCACCTTTCTACTCTCTCCTTCTTACTTCTCCCTGTTCACCAATCTCCAGGAATCTACTGGTCTATTTTTTGTCCCTATAAATTAGTTTGCATTTTCTAGAAACTTATATAAATGCAATATGATAATATATCCTCTTATGCCTGCCTTCTTTTACTCAGGATTCAGCTATGTTGTTGTACATCCATAGTTCATTCCTTTTATTGTTGAGTAGTTTGGTTTGGTTTTTGGTTTAGTAAATATTACACTGTATGGGTATATACTACATTGTGTTTATCCATTAATCTGCTACCAGGCATTTGGCTTGTTTCCAGTTTGGGGTTATTACAAATACAGCTTCTATAAATATTCACGTACAAGTCTTTGTTTGGACATATACTAGTAATTCTCTTAAACACCTAAGGGTAGAATAACTGTATTGTAGAGTAGATGTATGTTTTACTTTTTAAGAAACTGCCCAACTGTTTTTCAAAATGGCTGTGTTATTTTACATTCCTACTAGAAGTGTATGAGTTCCAAGTGCTGCATATATACTCATCAACATTTTATTTGCTCATTTTTTAGACGTTCTAATGGATATGTAGGAGCTCTGGTAGCATAGTGGCTAAGGCACTTGACTGCTAACCAGAAGGCTGGCGGTTCAAACCCACCAGCCACTCCTCGGAAGGAAGGTTGGGCATTCCTATTTCCGTAGTGATACTGCCTCGGAAACCCAAGGAGGGGTCGCTATGAGTCGGGGCCGACTCGATGGCAAACAACAACAACAACAACAACAACAATGGATATGTACTGTTATTTCATTGAAGATTTTGGGATTCCTGGCAGAGATCTCAAAGCTTATGTTTTCCACAAAGCAGGCTAAATAAATCTCAGAGATAAGGACAAAAGGTGTAGGAGGAGAATTCCTACATTGCCTGAGGTTAAGTACCTTAAGAGTTTGCCTGGGGTTGAGTACCTTAAAATTTTGGTCACTAAGAACAGTGATGAGATGTTAGAAGTTAAATTTAGTTATGGAAAAACACATTAACATCTTTTTTTAATTTTTTTTTTAAGCATGAGTAGACTCATTCCTTCAATAAGTAGTTAAGAAAGTGACATTGGAGGACATATTGGAAAGAATATGTTCCAAGTACAGTTCTATCCATTGTGGAAGGAATGGAAACTAATCTAACCAAAAGCCCTGCTTTTATGAATAAACTTATGTTTTAGTAAGGCAAATGGGGAAAATCAAGTATACAAATAAAATCAGTATAGATTTAAATAGTGATGAATGTAAACTGAGAGCAAGTAAGGAACCGAAAGAGTATGGTGAATTGGAAATCTAAGACATGGTGGCTAGAGGCCCCATCTCAGGGAAATGATATTTTGAGTAAAGGACTGAATGATGTGAAGAAGTAATTCATGAGGATTTTTGCAGAAGAGCTCTCTAGGAAGAGAGAACAAGTGGAAGAGTCTCTAGGCAGTATCCACACCCCCTATAGGTACAATTGATGAGTAGGGATGGATTGATGTGATCAGGGGCTGTAAAGCAGTGAGGTATCATGGCTTTGTTCTGTCAATGACACATGCTGGTGGTTTAAGGGTGAAAAGTAATGAGTGGAGTTTAGAAGTAGATTGAGAAAGAGAATCAGCATCAGCTATTACTCCATTTTGGTTCTCTTAGCAGCACAGCTATGAGTCAGAATTGATTTGATGGCAGTGGGTTAGCAACACAATTTTTTGAAAATATTATCTATCCTTGATTTTTCCAAACTCTCTCTTCTCATTCACGTGTTCACTCTTTTCAAAACCTATGTCATCTCAACAATTTCTAAATGTACAATTCAGTGATACTGATTACATTTTTGAAGTTGTACAATCATTCTCCCTATCCTTTGCCATATCGCTCCATCACCATTAACATAAACTCATGCACCCTAAGCAAAAATGTGCTCACTCCCCCTCCCTCCTACCTCTGGTAACTACTACTTTTTGGTCTCTATACATTTGCTTACTTCATGTAAGTGAGACCATGCAATATGTGTCCTTTTACAACTGACATATTTTGAAGAGCATGATGTTTTCTAAGTTCACCCATGTAGTGGCATGTATTAGGTGTATCAGGATTTCTTTTCTTAATGGATAAATAGTATTTTATTGTGTGTTAGCACATTTTATCTACCCGTTCATCTGTTCATGGATTTATCATTGTTCCCACTTGTTCACTCTTGAACTCACTCTTATCCAACTCTTGTCTTCAGCATTGATATGTCAAGTTCATCAATGACTTACACGTTATCCAATCCAATGGGCATTCTCAGTCCTCATCTTACCTAACTTTTTTTTAAAATTTTTATTGTGATTTGGGTGAAAGTTTACAGAGCAAATCCACTCTCTATATAGCAGCTCACATGCACTTTGTTTCATGACATAGACTGTAATTTCCCACAATCCAACAGCTCTCCTCCACTTCCTCCCATAGTTACTTCTTCCTTTGTCCTTCCCTCTCATGCACTCCTGTGCCCTGAGCTGTCTCCCCATGCATACACAGCCCTTCTATTCTTCCATGATTGATCTCTCCAAGGAATGTATCTACCTAATGTAAATGTTCAGCTCATATGTCTGTCTTTTGTTTGGCTGGCAGCCACGGAAGTGGGTTTAATTCCAGACCTGAAGGGTAGATAGGAGCCATAGTCTCAGGGGTTCCATCAAGCTCTATCAGATCAGCAAACCTGGTCTCCCCCCCCCCTTTTGTTTTTCTTATGATTTTGAGTTTTGTTCCATACCACTCTACCACTCCATCCAGGATCTCCTACATAGATCCCCCTCTGAGCGGTTAATGGTGGTAGCCTGGCGCCATCTAGTTCTTCTGGTCTTATAGTCATATAGGCTGAGGATCGCATGATGTACCAATCCCTTGGACTAACTGTTTCCATATGTCTTTGGTTTTCTTCAATCTTCTTTGTTCTGGACAAGGAGAGACCCATCATTGCATCTAGATGGCCACTTGCAAGCTTTCAAGATCACAGTCGCTACTCACCAAAGCAGGATGTGGAATAATGTTTTTGTATAGTATGTTATGCCAATTGAGCTTGATGACCCTTGCGACTGTGGTCCCAAGCCCACAGGTCCAACTTCTCACTCCCTCTGGGTAGCTGGCTGTGGCTGAGAAGTGACTACAACCTTGTTCCTTGTCAGCTCTACTATATATCTGGGAATTCTTACAGAACATACCAATACATTTGTAGAAACATTGCCTGTTAACCCTATACATGGTCATGGGCACACTGCCCCCTGCATGTTGTTGTTGTTGTTATGTGCCATCGAGTCAAACCCGACTCACAGCGACCCCTCCTTGGGTTTCCGAGGCAGTATCACTACAGAAGTAGGATTGCCCAACCTTCCTTCCGAGGAGTGGCTGGTGGGTTTGAACCGCCAGCAGTCTGGTTAGCAGGCAAGTGCCTTAGCCACTATGCTACCAGAGCTCCTCTGCATAGACATGTTTAATAATTCAGCCTGTCTACACATCTATCCACCCACGTATCAATGTTTGCCTTCACTGACAATATAGTACTGGATGTGAAAAAGGGTTCATATTTGTCTGTACCTCCCATGCACCTCTCTCTGTCTTCCTCTTCCTCTATGTCACTGTGTTGATAACACACAATTTGGTACATTGCCCTGCCCTTCTCTTCACCCAAATCAATGCTTATCTCTACCTATCTAACAGTGTCCCCCCTGCTACCCTCCCACCCCTGGTAACCAACAAAGAAAATTTCCTTCCATATATAAACCTTTCCTTGACTTTTTACAATAATGGACTAATATAGTATCTGTCCTTCTGTGATTACTTATTTCACTCAGCATAATGTTCTCCAAGTTCATCCACATTATGTGGTGTTTTACAGATTCTACATTATTCTTTAGGATTGCATACTATTCCATTGTATGTATGTACTATAGTTTGGTTATCCATTCTCTTGA